TGGGTTGGCCCTGCCGGTCGGTGTGACAGGCGAGGGCCCAGCCGCCCCCGGCGCAGACACAGGCCTGGGGAACCCTCCGGCGGGGCTGCTAGGGCTGCCTCCTGAGTCCAGCACAGTAATGGCCACGCAGTGGCAAGTTGTGGGCATGACGGTGGAACATGTGGAGTGCCAGGGTCCAGGTATTGGGGAGGCTCCGGATCCCTTAGGATTGGCAGGGGTTGAGGAGGCCGATGAGAAGCCACCACAGTTTACTTGTCGCGAGTGCAAAGAGACCTTCTCCACTCTGACCTTGCTCCGGCGGCACGAGCGGTCACACCCTGAACTCCGGCCCTTCCCCTGTTCACAGTGTGGCAAGAGTTTCTCAGACAGGGCGGGGCTGCGCAAGCACAGCCGCACTCACAGCTCCGTGCGCCCCCACGCCTGCTCCCACTGCCCCAAGGCTTTCTTAAGTGCCAGTGACCTGCGCAAGCACGAACGCACTCACCCAGTGCCGGTAGGGACCCCCATACCGCTGGAGCCGCTCGTGGCTTTGCTAGGAATGCCTGAAGAGGGGCCGTCTTGAGGCCCATGGTCCCCTTCACCGCACTCCCAATTGGAGGGCCCTGCTCACACAGGGACCTCAAACTGCTTGGTGCCCCTCCAGCTCTTTAGACTCCAGATCCCTGCCCCTTGGGCAACTAGCTCACCTGCCACAAAACTAAGAACTGGGGACAATAGAGGTGGTCAGCATCTGTGAGAGAGTTCTCTGGACACTCACTAAAGCATTCACTTTGACCCTGGGCTATCTTCTGTGTCCTGGTTGAGGGTGAGTGAATGGAGCTGGATGTCAAGGGGATCAGTGGAGACCCCCAGTCTGATGGGTCCTTACATGTATTATTTCCCAAGGTGTTTTGGGATCTTTTGTGACAAAGCATTTCATGGCCAAGTAAGTACAGGAAGTTCCCGATCCTCAGAAAATTTTGTTAAAAGCATCAAACCAGGTGTGGTGCACACACCTATAATCAGCTACCTGGAGGTTGAGGCAGGAGGATCACAAGTTTGAGGCCAGACTGGGCAGTTTAGCAAGAGCCTGTCTCACAAAGATAAAGGGCTAGGGCTGTAATTTGGTGCCCTCAGGGTTTGATCCTCACTTCCCAAAGAAAAGAAAGCTGGTTGCAGTGGTGCATGCCCATAATCCCAACACTCCAGGCTGAGGCAGGAGGATTGCCAGGAGTTCAATCCTGGGCTACCTTGCGACCTTAGGGCCAGTTGAATTACATAATAAGACCCTGTCTCAAAA